AGTGGTGGTTAGCTCGGGCCGTGAGTACGGAACGCTGCGGCCCTGGCTCGCTTTATCCGCGGCCTTGGATGGAGGAGTAGAGCTTGGAGGCGCCCCTGTTTGGAGGGAAGTATAGAGGGCGAGGAGATCCGCCTTGACCAACCGTCGTGGGACGTTGACGCCGGATCTAATCAGCGCCTGGCGTAGTCCGGTCACGGTCCATTTCTCCGCAGCTGGGGTGGAGGAGAGGGCTGAAGCGTAGGAGGACGCTGAAGAAGATGGCTGATGCCTGGAAGGCGAAGGTGATGGCGTGCCTCTGTGTCTGGAGGTATGAGTGATGGCGGCGCGGGAAGGCCGGCGGCTCCGTGTTGCAGCCGCGGGCTCGATTATGGTGTCCTGCGGAGCGCTGAACGGTGACTGGAGACACCGGAGGACCCGTGGTGTCAAAGGAGTTATCGTCCGGGAAAAGTTCAATCTCTGACATTTTGTGGCGATTGGATGTGCCAATGCTGAAAGACTAGAGATAATGAAGGTAAGGCTGCTTTGATTATTTATAGAGGTTCTCTCTTGTGCTGATTGGATAGATGGTGTGATTACTGATGATGGACTGGCCCTGTTAATTATCTGCGTGTGCTCCTCCCGAAATTTGTTAGTAAAACATCACATGTTACAGAATCAAATTTTGGGTGGAAATGTTTAGGCTGTAAAACTGATGCATTTCCTCTCTTACAGGTTCATCAGAGAGTGAAGATGATCTGAGGATTGTTCTGCTGGGAAAAACTGGAGTGGGGAAAAGTGCAGCTGGAAACACAATCTTAGGAAGAGAAGCGTTCACAGCAGAGACATCTCATGAGTCTGTGACTAAAGAGAGTCAGAGAGAATCATCTGAAATCAACGGGCGACGTGTTTCTGTGATCGACACTCCAGGACTGTTTGATACTGAACTTACTAACGAGGAGATCCAGAGAGAAATCAGACACTGCATCTCCATGATCCTGCCTGGACCACATGTGTTCATCATTGTGCTCAATTTAGGACAACGATTCACTCAAGAAGAGGCAACAGCTGTGAAGATCATCCAAGAGACGTTTGGTGAGAAATCTTTAATGTTCACCGTGGTGCTCTTCACCAGAGGAGACGATCTGAAGGACAAAACCATTGAACAGTTTCTGGGAAAACCAGGATCTCCTCTGATGAAGCTGATTGAAGCGTGTGGAAACAGATTCCATGTGTTCAATAATAATCAGACTGAAGACAGGTGACTGATCTACTGTAGAATATAGACGACATGCTGAAAGAAAACAGAGGGAGTTCCTACTCATGCAAGCTGTTCAGAGAGATGGAGAGAGAAAAACAAGAACAACAAATGAAGATCCTGATGGACAGAGTGAGAGAAAGAGAGGAAGAGATGAAGAAACATGAGGAAGAGAAAGAGAGAGTGAAGATGATGATGGAGGAAGAACGACAGAATCAGGACAAAGAGAGGAAGAGAAGAGAAGAGGAACTGCAAAGAGAAATAAGAGAACAAGAGAAACATCAGAGAGAGACACGAGACGAGATGAGACGAGAACGAGAGACATTTAGACAAGAGACAGAGGAAATGAAGAAAGAAAAAGAGAAACTGCAGATCAAATATCAGACAGAAATAGACAAACTGATGAACACAATAGAGAATGAGAGAAAGAAAAGAGAAGAAGAATATATAGAAAGAGAAGAACGATATAAAACACTGATAAAAGACAAAGGGGAGAAAGAGAGAGAAATCTGTAAGATGAAGAGAGAACGAGAGGAACTGGAAAAACAGAATTTAGAGGAAAAGACAAGCAGAGAAGAAGAGGACAAGAAAAGAATAGAGAAAGACAAACAGATTCAGAGACTGCAGAGTGAAATGGAGGGAATAATCAGAGAGAAAGAAAGAATAGTAAGAGAGAGACGAGAACAACTGGAGGATTCAGAGAACAGACTGAAAGAAGAAAGAAAGACGAGAGAAGATCAACAGAAGACTCTTGAAGAGAAACTGAGACTCCTTGAAGAACAGCATGAAGAAGAACTGAAGAGAAGACGAGTGCAGTGGAGAGAGGAATATGAGAGAGAGAAAGAGAAGATGAAGAAGATCTGCTCTGAAACTGATCATTCACTACAGGTGAGTTTTTTTTATCTTTCATGTTTATTCTGTTAAACAGACAAATAAAATTATTTTTACTGAATGATGTTGGTTTCAACTCTAAAAGATCACAGCTTACAGAAAACTGGAGACTGAGTGCTCAAGACTATTGGTCTGCTATGTTTGTTCTGTTAGTCACACTTTTAGTAGTAATTATAACCCACCAAAACTCAGACAACTTACATTTCAAATGTTAACTCTTAAATGCATGAATGTTTCGCCAATCATTCTTACATCGTGAGAATGTAAAATCCCCTTCGTGAGAAGGGGAAGTCGTGGCCTAATGGTTAGAGAGTCGGACTCGAAATCCAAGGTAGGAGATTTATAACGAGTGGTTCCCTGCATTATTACAGCAAAGCGCGTGATTACAGTACTAAGCCGCTGAAATGGAGCAGCTCTAATGCTATTAAATTAAAGATGATGTACCATAGAGCAAAACAATTAACAGTGAAAGTAACAAAAACGTATAAAATACATTTTAATGGGCATAATTAAGTGTGAAAATAACCGAAGGATATACAGTGAAACCAAAAATGATTCAGAGACCAGATATAATTTTTGATATTTTTTACTAGTGGGTGCAGGACACTATAGTTCATTTATGTAAGTGAGGATAGCAAAATAAAGTAAACTGTGACAAATCATAACCAAAAATTCTTCATACAGTGGACTACCAATAAAACTGATACAAATTTGGGTCCAAAAATTATTCAGACCGAGTCTGGGAAAAAAACTGAAGTTGAGGTTTTCATGAACCTGGGTGACAGCACGCCCAGGAGACTACAGGCTGTCATTAAAGCTAAGGGTTGCCCGACAAAGTATTCATAGTTGTGTAAATACTGTCATACTAACAGCTGTCTGAATTATTTTGGTTGATTGTAATCTATTACATACCTTTCTATCAAAATTATCTAACATTATCAAGATGAATTTGTTCTGACACAGTTTAACTCTGAGTTCTTGTCATATTTTATTACCATTTTCTAAACTATAGCGAATGTAATGTGAGAAATGTTGAAGGTGTCTGAATAAATTTTGGTTTGACTGTATCTATTTGATAAATGAAGTTAACCAACTAACATTATACATACCCTTTTGGTTTCTGTACCCAATATTTAAAAAATGTACAAATGCAATAAAAATATCGGTATCGGCATCGGTATCGGCAAGTACCAAAAATAAAAGTATCGGTATCGGGCGAGTACTGGAAAAAGTAGTATCGGTGCATCCCTAATTGAAATGAATACTTTATTCAGCAAGGATGCATTAAATAGATGAAAAGTGACAGTAAGGACATTTATAATGTTACAAAAGATATATTTTAAATAAATGCTGTTATTTTGACTGAAAGCTGGGATAATGTCTTCTGAAAATTCAGCTTTGCCACCACAGCAATAAATTACTTTTTAAATTAAATTAAAGATTCCATATTGTCAAAACTGAAATTTCCTTTTTTCATGATAACTGAGGTCTAGGTGCTATGTAACTACCATATAAGTTTCAAAACGGTCAATCCACAGTAAAATGCACACAGCCTGCATAAAGTAGCTGTGATTTTTCACGAACCGTTGTGACTTCCGTAAAAAGGTGCCGTCAGAACTACTCGGTCACCGCCTTCAGTCACCACCCCGAGCACTGCCCACCGTCCCACTCTCCGTT